GTTTTTCTTGCTGAGGCACATTTCGCCTTTTTTTGCACCATTTATTTTTGTAATCAGAGGTCGTCGGGTGGGAATTGGGGCCATCAGTGAGTGTACTGAAAATAGATATCATCCTTCAAATTCATTTTAAATTTGCGCATGAATATAAAAAATAAAATAGAGGGGTGACGTTTAATGCTTTGAATTTCAATCTGTGTTAGCCAGCATGCAACCTTAATTAAGATACAAAACGAATAATTTCAAAGTTTTTTTTTAAACATTTTTTACATAATCTGTCTCTGGCTATCGTTTCTATGCTTCTATATTTTTATTTACTTTATCTTATTTGACTGCAGGCAAGACAGGTGGGGTGATGACGTCACATCACTCTCAAGCCTCTGATTTGAAATTGAAAATGGACAAGAGGCGGCAGGTCTCGCTTCCTTAATCCCCAAAATCAAACAAGCATCATTTTAGTACTGGTCACAGTCATAGTAAATCAAATAAGATACTCCATTTTCATCAATATTTATTACGTGGTACACATAAACGTCATTAACCACAACAAATAGTGACGTAATATGTAAATAGTGACGACACTACTTATGTTGGCTATACATGAAGGTGCGAAACTGGTTTTGAGTTTTAATTAAATTATACAGGACAAGTAGTTAATTGTTTATCAGGGTTTCAGGTTACGATACAAGATCAGAAAGTTAAATACACAGTTTGATGATAAGATTATCTCTGCCACTGACTCTCACGTCTTCGTCCCTCAAGACCCTTCAGGCGGACACTTACGCCATGCTTGGTCCAAAACAGTGCAAATAACATTTCTTTAATAAACGCCATTGAATGTTTATGACTAATAAAAGAAAACGATATCTTTCATCATCTAGAATATGTAAGTCGTTCCTTGGCCCTTTTTTATAACTGAACATTAAAAAAAAAAAAAGAAGAACGAACTCCATCATTCAGGATTGTCTGAAATAGAAATGGTCTCGGAATTGAAAACAAACTTTGCCTTCCCCAAGAGGATGCAGGCAGTTGTAGTGTATTTAATTTTGGTAATATGAGAGAAAATGATTTCTAATGGCATCAGTCCAAATTGATGTAGTGAACCAAGTAGCATTTTATGAAAATCAATTGTTGTAAACAAATCGGAAGTAGAAGCTGGAAATAGTTAGCAAAGACCATATTTACACTTTACATGCAATAAAGCAACATGCCCCCATTATTGGATATACGCGCCTTTTCACCTTTAACAAATTACAGACTAATATGCGTGAGAATATTGAAATACAGCGTATGTTTTGACAAGAATACCAGAGTCACGACTGTTGACGCACCCGTAATGTCATTTCACCCAACTCAATATTTTTATACTAGCTGCTAATTGTGACAAATTTGTCATCACAAAATTTACCCTCAAACAATAGGGTTCAAATTTTATCTCAAAATAAAATGAATGACGTCATTTGACCAAATTTAAAAAAATTAACTATTGAATGAAATATTAATTTTTTTGTTTGAATTTCCAAAATAAAACTAGAATTGTTTAGAAAACTATAATAAAGTAGCAAAGTTCAGAAAAATATTAATTTAGAAAATAATTAAACGTAACGTTGTCGCCAAACATTAGGAGATAGTCTTATCCTAACAGGTGCCCGTCAGGGGATCAATTACTCCACTCTCTACTGTAAGTACGATAAGAACACGAATGTTTACCCTAATCATTAGTAGACTCACCCTGGACATCAAAATAATTTACCATAGAAGAGACAAGGTATCAGGTTACCTTAAAGAATTCCCAACCAATTGTTTTAATCGTGTTCTGATATATATTTATAAACTGTCGCCCATTAAGGAGAGTCAGTAATTAGAAAGTGGTTGCGGGGTGAGACAGGGAGCTGTTACTGGACCTTACCTATTCTGCTATTCTGTTAGTGAATATCGTCTACCTGTAGTCAGCTACTTGAAAGGTAAGTTAACAATTACAATGCCTTTTATCACTAAATTTTAGATTTTAATTTTTCAATTTTGAATTTAATTTTTTCTTTTAGTTTTAAACATTTTCAATTCATTTTGAAAATTTTTTACAAATATTTCTTGGTTAAACATATCAAATTTATGATTAATTAAAGATCAATTGTTTTTTTTCTGAAATTTTTAATTCAAACAAATTTATTAATTTCCCGAAACATGAATTCGTGGATTTTGAATCTTTGTCCATATTTTTTTCTGATAGTCGATTGATTGCGTGTGTTTTGCAAAAGTTGAGTGTAAATTCAATTTAATTTTTTACATTGAACTCGGAAATAGTAATGGATAATTATAGTCAAGTCAAATATAAATATAAAACGCTACTTTATGAAATTACATATTTTAAAAGAAACATTTCTCAACAATATTCGACCCAATCAAATGGGTTAAGCAGATGAAAGAAATTTGTGATTCCTTGAATTGTTAAAAACCATATTGAGAAATTTTAGGAACTTTTTCAGACTTTGATCGATCAATATTTCCAGTGATATTCGGGAGCCTATGATAAATAATAATACTAACTGAATGTGAGAATTGCAATTTCGACCAAAAATTCAGAGTTTTGGAAAATCTTCCACGCCCAATTTAAATTTTACCATCAATATTTTGATATCTAGTGATAATAATAAGAAACGCATATTAATATCCAGTATATTTTTTGAAAATTGAATATCTAAGCACTAATTATTTTTTGTAAATTGTCCGTCTAGCTCATCTTGTTCGAAAAACCAGCACTGCAGGCACCGTAACCTTACCACATCACCATGCATCAGCTCATATTAAATATTTCGTTAGTAGTTGAGTTATTGGTCACAATTCACAATGCAGAATTTTAAAATTACTGATGATAAGAGTTAATGACATAAAACATAAACATAAGATGTATCTTTACACTAGGATTTCAACAAGTTATATAGGCAGTGTCAAAATTAATTTTATATTTTTACAGTCAACATAGTACTTTCTCAAAATTAATAGGTTTGCTGTAAACTATCATAGGCGTAGAAGCTTCGAAATTATTTGGGAAGACCAAAATGTCCCAAAAATACAGTTTCTAGCTCCTTAATATTGTCCGGCCACTATCGATTATGACTACGGTTAAATCATCTTTTACAGTGTTACCTATGAGGGAATTATCCATATTCTTAATAAGTTTTTTTAGAATATGTTTTTAAAAAGCTGTGTTAATTACTTTCAGAAATGGCCGGAGTCATAGCAGTTCCGATACCACATTATGCCATACCACTGGATCTATCAGCAGCCTCTCGGCCTGTTCAACACTGGTCACCGTACATCCAGCCTTACAGTCCAACCTTCACCGTATATGATCAACCAGTTATGGCATACACATCTCCTGTTGAACGACCCACGTCTGAGGGAACTATCATAGATTTATCAGTCCAGCAAAAATTGGTTGATACACGGCAACCTAGATTTAGAGGTAAGATCTCATTTTTTGGGGCTTTGAAAACAAGTTGACAATTTCCATTGTATTGCTTGATCAAAATTTCAGTTCGATATCATAAACCGTTATTGTTACGCATTAGTAATAACGCATAAGCAAAATTCCAACTGAAAGACGTAAGGGAGTTTTTAATTTTTAGTCTAAAGGCTGCGATTACATGTTAACGCAAACTCAAGCACAAGCGTATACACAATTAAAAAAAACGGGCTAGAGAAAATCCTATCCCAATCCTTAGCCAATCCAATTTTCTGCTTACATGTGTAAGATCAAATTCAACACTCATAAGCGCAACGGATGGCTCAGTGAGCGATTATTATGCGTTTGCGGACGACTACAGACAGCTATATCCCATTTATGACATCATTACTGTAGTGGACTTTCCTCTCCCCCTTTGTTTATTGACCCAATACAGCTCGGATTCCTGAATACAATGACGGTTTTTTACGAGTTTGAGTTTGAGTTTGATTTACGTTTACGTACATATGTAATCGTAGCTTTAACGTTCTAAAATTTTAATGATATTATATTTATTATATTCATATCAGAAGTATTCAAAATTGATCTTGTTCAGAAGGATTCTATTTTTTTTTTTTTTCAAGTCTTCTGGATAATATTTTGTATTAATATTCTTTATAGGCGTATCAAAATCAAGGCAAAGACCAAAGAAAAGGTTTGATTTCGCCCATCTTGCCCAGTCAGTTCTTGCTGATATTGAAGACAAAAAACGAGAAAAAAGAGCACATGAAAACGAGGCTCGAGTTTATAGTCACATGATCACCAATCTACCAATCAGGTACGTTAACTTTCATATTTTACATTACGACAAAAACTACAAGGAAAACAAAATTGTCAAAATTTAGAATTTAAAAGTTACGCATGACGAAATTTGTATTACCTCTATACAAATCAATTGTATCCATTTATAAAAATAAAATAATGGCGTAATCATGATGTGAAAATCAAAACCTCCTGAATTTCCATTTTTCTCAAAAAAAATTTCCGAAATAAATATTTAAAACTTTCCCCTGTAAATTGGTGCGTACTGTCACTAGTATAAAACAAATGTTTTGTTTTCAGTTATACGACATTTAACCCTTGCTATCCAGTGTCAGAGCAATGCCCTGTTCCAATTCTTAAGAAAAACAGAAGATGTGGGTCGAGGTAAGACAATGATTTTATTTCATAAGTATCTGATGCTATTTATAAACATGTACATCACGATCACAACAGCCGAAATTGGTAACCTTCTAGATTCTAAAAGTATAAATTTGTTTGGAGCCAACTGAGATCCATGGTTGTGGTTGTTTTCCCTTTCTCAAATTAAGTGAACACAAAACAGAAAAATTGGACGCAAATATCCCTTAAATACAAATAATATTCATTTCAGTGTTCAATCCGCTCAATCTTTCCCTGCATGAGAATATCGAAAGAAGTTTTCAATATCTATGTAGACTATCAATAATGTTATTTATTCGACAGAATCAAGAAAGAATTTATCTGTAAATACTGTGGAAGACATTTTACCAAGTCATACAACCTACTGATACATGAACGAACACATACTGATGAAAGACCCTATTCCTGTGATGTTTGTAATAAAGCTTTTAGAAGACAAGATCATCTCAGAGATCATAAGTAAGTGACTCGATAAATGCTCGATTATTAGGAGTATAGGCGCCATCTAAGTATTCCCTGTGCCTTCATTTGAAGTATCTGTAAACATTTTCAAATTATGTCGGGCGTTCAGTTCGTCAACTTAAAAAGACAAGTCCCATTTTAATCACGAAAAGTGGCTTGTAACGTAACAATAATTCAGTTATGTTTTATATTATTTTCCTGGGCGATTTCATGAAATGAACAAGGATTTTAAGTTCAATTTTAATGTATGCTTGTTGTATTTCCAGATATATCCACTCAAAAGAAAAACCATTCAAATGTTTAGAATGTGGTAAAGGATTTTGTCAGTCTAGAACTTTGGCAGTTCACAAAGCCTTGCATTTACAGGTACGTTTATACCACTTTTCTTTTTTGGCGTTAACAGAATTCAATGTTTAGCTTTCGTGCGTCAGATTTGGTCGCAGAGTGACATCAAGGGTTTTGACTATTAATCATGTCTACAATCCTTTCAGTACCAAGATTTCTATGCCAATTATTATTAGTATTTTGTGTTTTGTTTCTAGGCATCAGCAACATCCGTTTCCAAGTCACTATCAAAACCACCAGTTTCCATAAAACAAGAGAAACATACTTCATCAGGGTATAAAAACATTTAAAGACTTTGGTTTATCCTAAATTTAGATAACTACATAGTGCTTATAATGAAAAAATTCAAACTTTATTTGAGCGACGTTTCGAGGTCCATAAGAATTTTTTTTATTATATCCAACATCTTTACTAAATGCCATTCAAAGATTACATAGTGCTTCTTAGTGGCGTTGACGCAGGGGATGATTGTGACTTAGGGTATAGGGGTTGTGTTCCATCTGTGTCCAGGCTTCCCACACTGCTACTTGAATCATTGCGGGAAGAAGAACCAGAAATCAGAAGTTATTCTGCGGCGAGAATCACTTACATTAAATTTGAAACTAACTTTTGTCTAATGTGCCTGAAATGAAACTTTAATTGCCAAGAGTAAACGTATCATGTAGCGTCGTATAATGTAAATTCTAGAAACTTTATGGAGGTTACATGGACTGGTAGAAAATATCTAACTACTTAGAGCAGTAAAGATGCAATGACACATTGCAGTAAAAATTGTACATTGAAGGGATTGCTTTAAGGATTCGAGGTTATCGAGTATGGTTACAGCTTCTGTTTGCAAAATTCCTATTCACTGTTTCTACAGTTCCAAGAACTGCGGTTGTAAACGTTCCCAGATTGTATTGTTAACAGTATTAAATACTTGATGTTCTCTTCGTGTATCGAATCAATACATGGTCCATTTCAATCGGTTGTGAATTTATACAATATCTACAATATTAAGTAAGGTATATTTGTTGTTTGTTTGTACGATATTGTTTATTGTTGTTTGTACGATATTGTCGATGTAGAAAGTGCTGTATTTATTATATCTTTTTAGAAACAATAAAACATTTAACTGTATGATGAAGTCTGTTTGTAAAAAACAAATACCCTCAGACCTTGAATCGTAGGCTTGCCCCTTTACGAATCTAAACCCCGATAATTATCCCTCAGTCTTCCCCAAGTTCCAGGGGCTTGGTGCAACCACCACTCCCAATATGAAATGTATAAAGCATTTTCATATAATATTCTTTTCTGAAACGTTTGACCCGTCTTCAATAATGTTTTCAACTCTTTCAAAGCTGTTTGGTGTTGCTTGCTTACTGATATATATGTATTTCTTTCCCCTTACATTGGGTTCAATCAGTGCGACTTAACCCGTCTGTTGGTTAAAGCAAGATTTAGATCTATATATATAACAAGTGGGGGATTAGTGGTACATCAACCATCTTGAATTTCCAAACAGTAATGGAAATCACCTTGACAGGTTAAGAGTCAGCAAACCCTTAAATCATACACTTATATTCTGTTATGATATACCTCGTAGCCCGATTCACAGCCGCATCGACAGAGTAGAAGATTGGTTCGTACGTCACACCTTAATGCTGTAGCTAATTCGAATTGTTCGCGTGGCATGCCCTGATGCCATGAACAAGATTTTGACGTCATGAAAAAAGCCTTTACGTTAGTATTATTGTTAACAATAGGTTTAGTTGTAGAAATCCAGAATTTGAATTTTGATTATAAAATTGACACAGACACAGAAAGCTCCAATAGAGATCAAATCAAGTCGATCTACTTACACAAGTGTCTATAAGTTGGTCAAGGTTGGCATTATAGGTCTACATTTGAAAGGCAGGTCATGCTTAATCTGTATGCCTATCTGGCTTTCTGACACCCTTATCGAGGAGCCAACATGTTTTACATTTCTCACATCATCTGTAGCATAAATATGGCACAGTAAGACCATACACTCTTGTACGTCTATACAAATTCCTCGGACTAACTTACCTATGGTGACTTCTCAGATCATCAGGTCTAAAACAGGAGCACTTTATTGACTTTTACTCTGAAGAGTTCAAAAACAAGAGAGATAATCGATAAGGGGCTTAACTTAGCACTTAATATGAAGAGAGTAAGAGTGTGGGAGTGGTTTATCTCACTTAAATCCACGCACTTAACTTGAAATTTACATTATTATGGTTCTTGATCAATTACTTACAAATACTAATCGCTTAAATACTCTAGAAGTGGGCGTGGTTTCAGATAAGGACCTGTACCTTATTAATGATAGAACGTTGGGTGGCCTTGGTGTCAAATATCAGTTAATATTGATCAATTAGATTATGAATAATCGACCAATTTCTCTTTTTCACTGGTAGCGCATAGAACGGTAAAAAATCGACAAGTGGTGCAATGTCATTGAGTGTGTTGTCTACAGGGGAATGCTGTAAGAATTGTCACATTTAATAATCTTTCGCATGTACAACTAAACTGAAAATGCAAATGTACTACCTTAACTTATACTAGAACTTAGTCCTGGAAAGTCACCTTTGCTAAACTATTGGTCAGTAGCAAGACCTGTTGGAAACATTATGCCTCTTATGTTTTATGGTATCTTTAGCGGACAGACCATAATTACCCCTGCCCATTGCTGTTGCTTTTCGCCATCAAGTGTACTTGAATCACCTCTAATCAACTACTTTCACGTAAAGTTATTAAAGGGCTAGAACAACCTGTTGGACTGGGGTTCGAGCCAGCCATAGGTTAAGAATTGTACCTTCAGATTGTTCAGTTCAACCCGGTATCCATCGTCAGTGATGCTGATATTTCTCAGTCTCATTTAGACCAAATTAGGAGCAGAAGAATAGGACGAAAACCTCCTTCCATAACATATATCATTATAACTGTGTTTCTAAAACAGATTCCATGTTGTCTCATGTCACAAGACGTGGTTAAGATAAAACAATAGACGACATTCCTACAGTTTTAATTGTCTCTTGTTTTTCTAAAGTTTGTCGACTCTTGTCTCTTGAAAACACATTCTTCAAGACACAGTTAAAACGAAATGATAAATAGTTTCTACATTCCTTTAACGAGGGTTATCTTTGTCATTAGTTTCAGAGAATCACTACCGTCAGGGGTGTGGACTACCCTACACGTATGATACTGCATATTAGGAGCGTGTATATTAGGAGTGTCATCTAAGGTGAAACAATACCAGAATAAAACATTAAACACATTCTTTGCATAATTTTCTGAAATTGTAATTTTCTTGTCGTTTTATTTTCGACACGCATTTACGCTATTAACTGGTAGTAAATATGTTGTATATTGAGTTGAAAAAAAAACTGCTTGATATGGTTATATCTATTACTATGTATATATGCCTTTATCGCTACTTTTAACAATTGTTGCCAATATACCTCTAATCTAACCACTTTGAGCTATTAGCTATACCATGTTCAACCAGAGTTAGCACGATTTCTGTCACGGAAGATTCTTGATTTGCAGACACCTGCAATCCGAATTGATAGCATCGCTGACCAAAAACTAGGTCTATCAAGCATGAGATGACCAATATAGATTACCATTACTTTGACAAGTGGGTGAAGTTCACCTCTATCTTGGGTGGTCTGTTGTTACCTCAGTAAGTCAGAAGGACAATTGATGGAGGTAAATGGCCAGGGGTTATCGCTATCAAAGTCTTCCAGGTTACCGTACAGAATCACTGTATTGTATTTCAACAAGATGTAAAGGAATACTTTTAAACATCAAACGAAACATTGTTTATGTTATGAATATTATTTCATAATTATAATTTATGTAATATCATGGTATATCATGCATCAACAGGGGAAATTAAGGAGTGGTCCTTTTTTAGATGATATCCATTTATTTATATATTTAACTTATCAGGGTATACAAGGCGTAAAAACTTACCAGATTTTATTTTTTTCATTGAACACAAATTTATACGTATTGCTGAAGTCATTTTAGATTAACGTCAATAGTCAATTTTCAATAGTTGCATGATTTTGTTCTTACCTCTTGCAACGTCTTGAGCTGGACCTTGATCGTGGATCATGGCATATCAAAGACCAATATATATGATCTTACAACTCGGAGATCCGTTCATCATTGAAGGTCATATCAAAATAATCTGCAGGCATTATTCGTTGATGCAAACTGGAAAACGTCACTCTCATCGTGTAAAATTTCATGCATCAATTCTGTATGATGGGAAAGTTCTTTAAAAATGGTGTCGTTTATTACTGTGTTCATAATCGAGTTATTTCCCTTTCTTTATGGCAGTCTGTATAATGATTGGAGTAAGCACTAACTTTACCCCCTTCCCCTTGCCCTCCTTTTTGAACACTTTTATCTTTATACAAAACATTTCTAAGGCAATAATTTCAACTTTTCAACTAAAAAATGTCGCTTTATTCATCTATTTAATAAAAGCTGAGAATCCATGTCAGGATTTGAACTGACATGAACTCGCATATAATATTAATAACAGCTTTATTGTAAATATTACGCCATATATGGTCAAAGCAATGATAAACAACACAATACAAATAATAATTGAACAAAGACTAAACACAGTTTATACATAACAAGAAACGGTATTCTGTAGTGACTAACGTATAATTTGAATTAATTATTTTCATTATTTATTGGTACTATTTGTTGGGTTTTGAACAAAAATGACCCAATATTTTGTAGTATTTTATTATCATTGTTAGTTATTGTACATTTAAATTGAGCACTCATCCTGAATAAAGTTAAAGCTTCCCTGTGATTACAGTTATTTTTTCTGTTATATACGGTGGTTCGTATACAATTTTGAATTAAAAAACTAGAATATAATTATACAAGGGGAAACAACTATAACAAACTGATGAATATTAAAATATGACCACTAGCACTATTTGTTTTTTTCTCTATTTGATGATAATGACAATTTAAGAAACTGGGTATAATAGAGCAAAGATATACGTGTATTTTTTCTGTTCATTATTACTAACTAACTAAAGATAAACTGAATCGACCCGGATGTGCTCAAATAACCTGTCACGACTATAATATAAAACCCAGAGATAGTGTTCTGTTAATAATAATAATAACATTGTTTATAAGACATATAGAAGTAGGAAGATTACAATAAAACATTAAGATATATGGATATATACTACTTCTGCATTTATTACATACTACGTTACCTGTATGTGTTCCGAAACGTATAGTATGTAATAAATACAGAAGTAGTATATCCATATATCTTAGTGTTTTATACTAATAATAATGTGTGTTAATATTTAGCCAAAAGACGAAGGAAAGGAAATATCTGGAATTATGTCAGATTGCTAAATATATATTATATTATCTGAATCAAAAATAAATTAATCAACATAAATATAAATAGTTAATAAATAATCTATCTATAAAGTGAAGTACTAATATTCAAATTATAAAAAAGCGTCTGCAAAATAAAATTCGAAATGAAATTAAATCTATTTGTAAGAAATTATGCATTTTTTACTTATGTCAGTTTTGAATTTTTTCTCTAAATCGAGTTATTTCCCCTTACATATTCAGTTTTCTCCAAAGTCTATGAGTCGGTGTGAAATGAAAAGTGGAAAATCGTTTTTAAAATACAGATTGTTGATCCAAATGATGTCCGTACAGAATAAGATGCATTTTTTAGGCCACAGATGGATTTCCTTATTTTTTTAGTGTCAAATAAAGCAAACTATTTGATTAATTGAATTATCATGTATTCTTAATCATATCATTATGTTCTTATTGCATATAATTAAGATTTTTAACCAATCACAAATGTCCATGTATGTACACTCTGGCTAAACAAAAAAAAAGCTTTTTGACCTTTCTTGATCGGTCACTGTTGGTTATTCTTTTCGAATTTAGTTTATTATGAATTAATTATGGACACTGGTATTTTCCAAGTCATTAGAACACATCTACTTTCTATTCATATAAATATTATAATCATAAATACAAATAAGGGAGCACATTTGTAATTGCGTTGAGCAATCTTTATTTCGAAGTTGAGCTCAACTCCGAACGGAAATAATGTCGTCTGGGTCTGGTTGCAAAGAATTTTAAGCACGGTTAGGATCATTAAAAAATATCACAAAAATATGGCGAATTAGAAGGCAAAATAATATAACAATTCGTTAAACTTTCTTCTGCCTTCGTTTCTCTAACAGTTGATCAAGATAACAGAGGAACGGTTGATAATTTCCACCGCCGTGAATATGATGATGATAATGCTTTCTGGGACCACCCATCAGATGGAATGGCACTATTTTATCCCAGCCAAATGGCAAGTCATAGCCGAGGTGATTGTCCACTAGTAAAAATATAAACACTGGTACAAACAGGAGTCTGGTAAGAGGATGGCTGTTGAGTATTTTTAAGGCAAAGTTCGCTGAGAGAATTAGGATAATACGCTCACTGACGCTCAGTTGGTTAGTAATATGCGCGTGCATTTTGTCGTGGTGGTGATGCACGGCATGTAAATTCTTATATAACCAATTGTTCTTATGAATGGCGAAATGGAAGAAGAAGAACAATGCATCATATATTAGGATACTGCCGAATAAATCAAACACTAGAAAGAACAATGTTGGTGGATCCTCTGGTAAAGCTCTGGTGGTCTGAATCCACGATTGACGTTTCTCGACCCAAATTGTCGGCTCAACACCAGCATACTTCTTCACCATGAACGTATCCATTAACATGAGGGGACTAAGGTATATCACAGCTTGACCAACCAATTCCATTATGGTCTGATGAACGTACGTTACGGACGGATCTATCTTATACTTATCCAAGGGTTCGATATAATGAATCCCGAACGGATACACAGGGATCACAATTGCATAACAAAGAGTCGCCCACCAGCTTTCAAAATACACAGAATTAAACACAGACGATTCTAGTAAAAATGACCAACTTTCGTTGATGATAGTTTGTAAATATTCTCTAAAAATATAACCCAGTAAAAACACGAGGACTATAATAGCACGAATAAATAATACTATATTAGGCGTTGGTATATTTCGATTGTTCTGTTTGGATGCCAGATCCTTCATCGTGATATTGGGAATAGGCCCAGCTGTATCGTCTGCTATTTCTACTTCTTTTGGCGCCATCTGCAACATAAAACGTAAGGTGTTTTATATTGATTGTCATGATTATAATAATGAGTTTTATGTATGTAGTGAACAAATTAGTCCGTTACTAACAATATACTTGTAATTAGTGAACTATCAATGTCTCTATGACAACGCTATCCTCACATAATCAGGCTATTCTTCATGGAAAGCAAGAATTAGAATTTCATCAGCAACATTCAAATTAAAAAAAAATCTGACATTTGATTGTTTCTTACACCAGCAAACTTAAAAATATTTCTGGCCGTGATTCTTAAGTATTGAATCCAAATCTTTGATATACTTGGTAAAATATTGTACAGCAAGGCATTGTTATCTCTGGTGCTCAATATATGGTGTAGAAAATCCTCACTACTGATAGCTAGGGTTACACTAATTTACATTTAAAACACTAGCCCATAAATAGACTGATTACTGATGACTCGACGAGAATGTCTACAAGCTCCCAAATAAGCAGTAGTTTACATGTCAAACTCCAGCCGAATTTCAAACACTAGCCCACATTTAGAATACTAGCTTACCTGTGAAACACTAACAAATCTAAAACACTTGGTCATAAATAGCCTGTTGAACGAGATTGTCTACGAGCTCAATAATAAGCACTACAGCATAAACTTAAATCTCAAACACTAGCTTACCTTTCAAACACTAGCTTACCTTCCAAACACTAGTTTACCTTTCAAACACTAGCTTACCATTCAAACACTAGCTTAAATAACCGGCACTAGCTTGTGAAAGATAACTCACATTTGAAGTACTTGGTCATATATTGCCTGTCGGACGAGATTATCTACGAGCTCCAAAATATGCACTGAAACACTAGCTTACCTTTCAAACACTACAATAGTTACAATAAATGCACCTTATAGCTTTTCTATTGCTCTGTGACTTAGGCGTTGCTAGTACCAGCAATCAGAACAAAAGATACCACAAAAACACAAGAGTATCTATTGCTCCGTGACCTATGTCAGTGCTTTCAGTGAGACTCGTTTCAAGATACCTTAATACTAAATTTGCCTGTGCAGAAAGCAGAGCAACAGAGCAATGCATAAGTATATCTATTGCTCTGTGACCATGTAACTACTTTCATTGAGACTCGTTTCAACGTTCCTTAATACTAACTTATATTCCCAACACTAAATTACCTTTAACTAGCAGACATGTCTCACTGTGGCATACGTTATCATAATATTATCACATTTATATGTCAATGAGAGGCCTATACTAGAATGACAAACAGAATGACTTTTATTGAATGGCAACCATAGTAACCATTGTAAACAATAAGTAGAACATTTCAAGTTGTATACGGATCAATGAATATAAAAAGCCAACATGATTAGACAGTTTTTCTCACCAGTCATAGGCTCATATCAAGCTTATTGGTAATGCATATAAATTTCTATTGAATTGTGTACCTTGTATTGACTCACTTTGCATATTAAAGGTGAAATATAACCTTGAAAATAACCTCCGAATAATAATAACACACGATATGGTAATGGTGTACATGTATAATACTATAGTCATATTATATAGGATTATATAATACTTCAATAAAGTAACGAGGTGGATGAGGGAGTGTTCAATTGGTTTCTCGCTGTCTTCATAAACTTTGAGGGATATGTATTCAACAGTATTCAAATGGGGACAGAGGGGGCATCCCTCGCAGCCCCGAAAGCAAGTTTTTCGTGCAAAAATCTCATAACTAGGTTAAAGATTCGGGCAATCTCAGATATCTCGCCCCCTCTCGGACGTAAACCTGGTTCCGCCACTGACAATGGGTTGGTACTTATGGGGTCTTAAAGAGGATTCAATTGCGACTGGGGTTAATATCTTTGTGTGTCTCTTTTTGCCAGTCTTAGACAGCGAAATGCACCACTTCCGCCCTTAGTGAGCGCTAAACAATAAATGTATAAAGAGGGCACATTAAAAATATGCAATTAACCACTCCATAATTCTTTCATTTGACTTTCTAGCCCAACAAATCTAGCTCTATCCGTTCCTCGAACGTGATATACGGATGGGATATCAGCAGGTTTTGGGCCAGACATAAAATGTCACTTATTATATTATTTTTGAGAATGTTCACTATGTTAAAACCCAAACTTCGCATAAATTTTGATATCTTCGAAACTGTATGATGTTAGATAATATAGAATTAGATATTTGAAATGGTATTTGTTATATGCGTCACGTCGTATAATTATAGTAACCTTCCGCATTCCAAGACATGTCCACTTCAATACAATTATATTGGACTCATCAATTTGATTACAAATATTTAAACTAATACTGACCTCAGGTGAACCTATATAGCGTGTTCCCTCTGGATGTTCCCCCATGCGTAGAAGTTTCAATTATGTTGAACACAGCATGAATTTCACTCAAAATACTATCTTCGTTCGTTACACATCACTGATTAGGCCTAAACACGGAAAACATGGCTGATTACACAAATATGTAGTGCAAAGTGTGTCATGTAACGAAGACATTTGAGCTATATCAAAGTCAATTATTCGACATTTATTAAGTCACAGTGTGAAATAATTTCAGGTCGATATAAACTATTTTTTTTAAGATATACACATAATTTAAACGTATCCATTGAATTTCATTTGAGATTGGGGGAGATTGCACTTGTAACCCTAGAAAAGTGGTTTGCACCTCAAATTGTACCGCTACTTTATTTTCAACAAATCTAAATGTCTACCATTTTTTCTTCAAAATATATGTCTCAAATTTTCTTGAGTGAACGCCTTATGAGAGGCGTGCGACTATCACACCACCACAGTGTAGCCAAAATTTGAATTCAACCTCACCAGTTGTCACCCGAGTGAGTCATTCTGCATCCTATTTGTATCCCCAGTCTCGGAAGGCTAGCACCGCCACTGGGAGGTTATAGCAAAATTAAAACGAAAACTATTCTTCTTATGCGATACAGTCAGACTGTTGGATTGATAGTGTCAACGCCCATATTCATTGCTTTTTAACACGATTTTTTGTGGTTTGTAGCTTGAATTATTAAAGAAGAGTTATCCACCTTTAAAAGTATTTCTTAATGTAGGTATACTATAAATGGTTGAGTTTTTATGTGCCCCCATATAAAAGAATCGTTTCCATTGCCTGCCGGCATTTTTGTTTGTGAGGTAAACGTTGAAGCTATAATTTGATTTTGATGAAACTTCGTCAGTAAATGTGAAGAGAAGAGATCATGACCGAGTTCGATGTTTCGATGAACAGTTATTGAGTTAGTGTCATGATTTCGTTAAAGCGCATCAAAATCAGCTTGTTAGTTGGATAAAGGTTAGATTGAATGGTTGTTATGAAAGTTTAGTTCGGGATTCACGATGGTTTGATGAATAGTTTTGGAGTTATTTCCCTTTTCCTAGTCATCAACATTTCTTACAGGGACAGGTGCACCATTCTCATCGACCAATCATACTTTAGTCTTAGAAACGGGAATTTTCGACCAATCATACTTACGTCTTAGAAACGGGAATTTTTTTCGGCTAAGTCAATCAGTAATAGTGTTCACAGCTCACCGTCGAAATGTGAGCCTTCAAATCCACGTGTATCCAGAATTATCTGCGTTTGAATGTTCAAATGACGAATCGTCAGTTTAAAATACTCTGTGCTCTATAGGAAAGGAATTATATAGAAATAGTGAGTAAATTTCCTAGTTTGAAGTATTTTGAAAGGAATTATGCGATTTTCGTACTTTTCAAATAATACCAAGACGACTCTTCCTTGCTAGACACAGTAATGATACTGGTTAATCCAAATGTTACGAACATGCATTAGAAATTCTGGGCCCACCAGCTTATAGTGAAAGGAGACATGTTGAAGTTTTATATGAATATATTTTGTTAGTATTTTCTAACATGCAATCAAATGACTTTATGGACTTGTATTAAAAGAAATTCTGAGCCACCATATGATATATGATACGAGTATGGTATGATATTTTATATAAATATTTTCTAAGTATTTGTATACGTTATATTGAGCTAACAAACGCAAGAAACACTAGACCGTCTTAGTCTAGTAGAGGAGAAATGGGATTAAAGAATGATAATATGATTATTTTATGTTAATGTTATGAGTAATAAAATACAGTAAGTAATATAAACAACATTGGATGAGTCAGATATTTACATAAAAATATAACAATTTAAAACACTGTATAACTTAAGCTCTATTCACAACATCTCCCATTCAACAGGTTTTCAAATAGGAACACTGATCACTTTGCATCACTATATGTATTGGAGACACTGATAGCATCAATTTGCACCATTCCAATCAAACGTCTGTTGTTTCTGCAATTCCACTAAAACTAAGTGTTGGCGATGATGACGTCACTAATCGCGAAATATGCTTGTATCAGATAAAGCCCTTCTTAGTGATGTCATCAAACACTTAGTTTATGTGAAATTCTAAAAACCACAGACATCCGATTGAAAATTG